CCGAGGATGAAATCGTCAAAGCATATGCCTTGTCGGGAGAACTTTTGGGAGAAAGTGAAGGAATGAGGACAGCAAATGACAAGGTGAAAGAAAGTACCAGTGGATTAATTGATTGGGCTTTCTTTCGCGGTAGTCCAGCCGAGGGAATGGTGGGGACGCTGGAATGGACAAAGGCCAGCTACGGAACAGTCGAGTCCTATTTGGAGCAAAATGCAGGTTTCAGTGTTTCTCAGCAAAGAAGCTTTCGAGAACAACTTCATCCCATGGAGCTACCATCTAAATGACAGAATCAATCGACCTTCGAATGTGGCATAGTCAGCAGTCTGTGTGGCATGCGTTGTCGGGGTGAAACGACCCCTTGCAAGTAGGAATGCTTGTCATCAAACTTTGGCGACGACGATTGGGCCCACAAATATAACTGGCAAGTGCATACAGTCTCCCCCTTTTTGGAAGCTGTGCCATGTCTGTCGTAGCCGTAAACGGATGATTTCGTCCAGTTTTGATTGGGTGTGAACATGATGATTCATTTGCGATGTCTTCAATTTCATTCACAAGCAACGACAGCTTTCATGTTGGTGGTTGCATAGACGATCATTCGGTAGACGATTTGTTCCATGTGATGCTGCTGCATAAGTTGTCCTAAATGGTGGAGGCATACGGTACAGTATATTGAAGACAAAAAAAAAAGATACCAAAAATTGTCGGTGTTTGTATCAGTATCGAGTGGTAGAAGAAGCCAGCGCATTGTGCATTATTTTATACGCACACGGTGTATTATATTAATAATAGTTTTGGACAACATATATCGAAACTGCAATCGACAACCACAGAGAAAATACTATGGACGATAAGTAATATGAATCAAATGAAGTAAAGAGTGTATCCGTTCCACTGTAGAACTTCAAAAGCAAAATGAATACTGCAGGAACCGTGTATTATACATATAAGAATTTTAAGTTTAGTATTCTTTTGGTTGGATTCCTTTATTCGCTTGTTCCTCCTTATCATCACCACCATCACCACCACCACCATGTATCGATGGGATGCCCCGTCATCATCTTGCTTTCAAATCCAAATTATTTGGATGGATTTGCCTCCTGTAGTAAAAAATAGTAGAATCCACCGAGTGCCCGCGCCGCTCCATCAAAAATTGACGGGGTCACAAGAGAGAACCACACTGTTCCAAGAAGAAGAAGGACAAGAGTTTAGAGGTCTTCTTCATTACCACCACCAGAATTCTGCCAATGATCTGAATCCGTATCCCCACCCGCAGTGGATCGAGAATTCTTT